GTACTATTTTTAATATAATTAAAAAATTACAATGTGGATTACTTTTTGTTTCATAAAGCAAGTATAATTTATTGAAATTATAACAAAAACATTTTATACATTTTTTTAAACTTTCAAAAAGACGACAAAACTGTCAACATATAAAAAATAATACTCCCTTCGTCCCAAAAAAATAGTCTAAAATGAAAGATTAAAATATAAAAATTAGATGACTCAATCTTGTAAATTAAAAAGTTAATATGAAAAATTGAATAAAATTTCATGACTACTTGTCAATTTAATAATCAATTTTAGGTTATAATGATCTCATAACTCTAATTTTAAGATTTACATTTTTAAAATTAAACTTTTTCGGTGGGACGGAGGTAGTACAAAAAATACATCGAATTATTTGTTCGAGTTATCTTGACTGGTGTAAAAGTCGACAAACTATGAAATATGTACAAAATGTTTGCGTCGACTTTTTGAAACTGAACAAAAAGATGGAGTAATGAAATATATTTTGAAAAATATTAACGTTGATTTTTTCTAATTTAGTATCGGAAATTTCTTATACTATTTTTCTTTTACTAATAATTTGATGCATAAATTATTGACTTAAAATACGTGGCAACAATTTTTAAGAGAGAAATTGTATGGGTCCATTTTCTAGTGAGTTCAACCGACTCAATATATTTCTGTTTTTCCGGAAAAGAAAAGGCATAAATATATTTCTGAACCGAGGCGGGAAAAGAAAGAAATAGAACCGCTCATCACTCCGCCAGCAGCAAAGCTGAGAGGCGTTGCCGCACACACACACACACACACACACTCACGTCCTCACGCAAAAATTACCTCCAAAAATTCCTAATAAATTTTCCGGAGGATCGTTTCTCGCACTCTCATACCACAGATCGAGAACTTCATTCACTGAATTTTACCGGTAGGCATCGATTTATGTAGGAATTCACTGAATTCTCAAACAAATCTGATTTCCGGCATCTTCTTCCTGTATTTTCAGTTGTATTTGAAATTTTAAGCGTTTTCCTACTCAGGCTCCAGCTCAAGATGGAATTCTACGGTCGCGTGTTGATTTTGGCTTTGGTGACTCTGCTATTGTTCTCAGATTCTGTTGCTTCGGCGGCTAAGGTATACCAATCGTCTTCATTTCGATGCCGCTCTAAGCTTTCCGTTTTTAATCGCTGTAATTTCTTGAATTTTATGCTTCGCGTTGTGTTTTCCAGCTAGGAGAAGTATGCCGTAAGGATAGTAACTGCGGTGCAGGGTTACAGTGCGATGGCTGTCACACAGCTGGCTGTCAGAAAACTGACGGTGTTACTCGTTGCACGCAAATAAAACCTGTGGATCCTTTCTCAAGGGTGAAATTCAGCTATCTATGTGTTCCCTTCGTTTATGTGAATTTTGTATTGTAATTTCCTTGCTCTGTCATTCGATATGTATTTAATTAGGTGTGGGTGTTCTGCTCTGATGAAAATGCAGGTCTTCGGTCTGCCGTTTAATCGGTATGCATGGCTAACAACACATAATTCGTTTGCTGTTATGGAAGTGGAAGACATCAAGCAAATTTTTGCGGTGTTTGAAATGGCTAGATCGAGAGGGAAATTGGCACGGGAACTGAGACCGGAAGTTCTTTTTTTAGCTACGTGGAATCAACAGGACTCAATACCTAGTCAACTCAATGTAAGGCAATTCTTCTGATTTTCTCTGCTAATAGAGACATAATCATGCACTTTCTTTCTGAACCTGCTGGTTGTACAACTTAAAACTACACATATGTCTCTCTGTACTTAGATGTGAAGTACTAACGTTTAGATTGGAATTGGTGTGATCAATTTTTCCTCTGCTAATTTTTGCCTGCTATAATAGTGCATTAGTACTCCGTTATCAATGTTGGGTGTTGGAGGTTATTGATGTTTGGACTTCTGAGAATCAAATCATGTAGGTTCCACATGTTTCAATACTGTCATTATATGCCATTTACGGTCGAATGCCATTATATGCTAAGCAAATTGAAGCTTCTTTAAATGCTTGTGCAAGATGTGATCCATGTAAAGATTTCCTTCTTCTAATTGCTGGCTTCTGGTGTGCAAATAGAAGTTTGCATTATTGAAATCTCTTTTAGGAAAGCTGCATGCACTAGGTTACTTTTTACTCCTTCGATTCATGCTACTTGTGTTGACGGATAACCAAATGGTGTAGTTTCTTATAGGAAATGTTAGAGTATAGCACATTGCTGCTGTTGCTCTCTTGCTGATTGGTATGGACTTGATACAGCTTAATTTATTTTTGTCAAACAATCATACCCAACTGAACAAGATCCAGAGGCTGAGAAATGTTTTCACTTAAATTTTTATGAACTTAAGCTAATTTTAGGCTTACCCCAAAGCTTATAGGGGACCATCTTGTCATTAACATGGTAGTAATTTTTTCCTAAACCAAGACCTCTCAGTTTTTAGTAGCTCTTACACAAAATAACCTCAGTTATTGCACTTTCCTCTTGAAACTGCGCTTGTTTGCTTGCACAAGCCTGAAACATATTGATTATAAGTGTCTGGAACTCTTACTCATCTACTTAAAGTTTTTATTCAAATGCAGTTTAGGCTCTAATTAGCAACTGACATGTGTGAATACTCAATCATGCACTGTAAGAACATTATTGGTTGTTCTAGATGCTGCTTTTGTCGTGATCGCCATTTATGTGAAAAACAAAATGGAAAGAAGTAGAACTGCTGCTTCTGTCTGTAAAATTTGCCTTGTTGGTTGAACTATTTTGGTTTGAAAAACCAAGGCTATTGTTGGGAGGCAGAGGTGTCGTTAACGTTCATTCATTCAGAATTTAAAATGCAACTCATCATTATATTTTATAGATCAAATCTGTTCACATTTTCCATTTCTGGTGCAGAATGGTGTCAGGGGATTGATACTTGTCATGTATGACTATAAGGATGACATTTGGTTATGCCACCCCTTTGAGGGTAGTACCTGCATCAATTTCACAAGCGTTGTAAGTGCAGTGTTTAACTTCAACTTTACACACTATAAAAGAAGTCATTTCCTGTGCATTCTACCTGACCAGCTTATGTTACATCCCCTTTCTTCATATAGCCTTATAAACAAAAGTAAAGATGACTTATCTCTGAAATTCCCTGCATCGCCAGTTTTATTTTGTAGAACTTGCTCACAAAGACACCTTACGGTTGGTTCTTAAATGTTATAGTGAATTTAGAAGTTCTATAGTCTACGGATTGAACAGTTTCATAATGATATAATATCATCTAATTCTCAGGAACCAGTCATTGATGCCTTGAACAATGTTCGAGAGTTTCTGGAAGCAAATCCCTATGAAATTGTCACAATCATGATTGAAGACTATGTTACATCCCCCAATGGTCTTACTAAAGTCTTTAACGCTGCTGGCCTGAGAAAATTCTGGTTTCCAGTGTCAAGGATGCCCAAAAATGGTGGAGATTGGCCAACAGTAGATGATATGATTGAGAAGAATCAGCGCTTGGTAGTTTTCACATCAAACTCTTCCAAGGAAGCAACTGAGGGCATTGCTTATCAGTGGAAATATACCGTTGAAAACCAAAGTGAGTTCTGACTTGTTTGAAGTTTAACTCAGATTCCAAAGATAAAGTTAATTGTGCTTTATTACCTAGATAAATTCAAAGGCAAAATGAACTTGCAAAAGCTTTTAACACTCTATTTGCAGATGGCAACAATGGAATGGTAGCTGGGAAATGTCCCAACCGTGGAGAGTCCCCTGCAATGAACACAATCACAAGGTCACTGATAGTAATGAACCATTTCCATGACCATCCAAGTATTCTTGATGCCTGCTTAGACAACTCAGCACCTCTGATGGACATGCTAAATACTTGCTACGAAGCAGCTGGAAAAAGGTGGCCTAATTTCATTGTGGTCGACTTTTATAAGGTACCTCCTCTCGCTTCTTAAACTGATTTCAACTCCAAATTTCATGGTTCGACGCCGCTACAAATACATCTTGGGCTCAGTTTTGACTGCTTTGATTGGTTACATTTTTTGTAGAAAAGCGATGGTGGAGGTGCTCCTCAAGCAGTGGACAAGGCTAATGGTCAACTGATTTGTGGCCGCCCAGATATTCGTTCTTGCAGGGTATGAGCTATCAACATATATCTTTTGGATTTGCATGTTATTCTCAATGAAAAAGCATATTAACAGTTGTCAGAAACTTAACAGGTTATTCAAGGAGGTGGTGTTCGAACAGAGCTATGAGATAAGCACGGCGAGGTGTGAAGCCGTCTTTTCATTTGCTAGTCTGGAAATCTGGATACTGTTTAGTGCCGTGATTCTGAATATGATGAAGATTCTTTTGTTGCCTAGTCTGGATAGCTTATTGATTTGGGGTAGAAAACAAGGTAAGGTGGGTTGTAGATTGTACCTAAAAAAGTGACACATAAGAACAAAAGGGAGGAAATGATGATATTGGTTAATTGTGGACTTTGTTGGATTCGTCTTCTGAACTCTTGTTACTCTTGGTACTATATATATACTTATATAGAAATGCTTTGAAAATTAGGACTATAGTCGGCCTATCTTATTGACAGAATTTGAGTTTAAGTAAAGTGATACATATATGTCAAAAAAATGAAAAATGAACTTTGATAAGACTTCAAAGGTATGTCAACAAATCAAATTTCAATTTGGGTTAGAACAATTGTGGTGTACAGAGTGGAATTGATATGATGAAGGGTATGTATAGTACAGAAAATTCCAAGCTGCTCTCTTTTCTGCGAAGCAAAACCTCGTTCTTATTAATGGCAAACAATTTACAACGACATTGCATCATAATGATTACAAATGCGTGGACATTTGTTGTTGATTCGCTTGAAAGGCAAGTCAACTGAAAATTTACAAATGCGGAAATTCAAGAAGTGAATTACTTTTGACGTTTTTGAATCTTTACAAAAGTAGAAAGTTATTCATGTTAAATTTGTTTTCATTGATATCCTAGCAACAAATAAAAAAGAAATGTCTTACTTACACGTTTAAGTGGCTATTTTTTAGAGTATCTAGTAGTGTATGCCTGTTTAAAACCGCTCAATTTGTCACACAGATACTCTGAAAATTCTACTATAATGCAGCACAACTTAACGAATTGGAAAATTTTGTAACAATAATAATTGGGCTGTTGGACGGGGCCGAATTGCAGTAATTCGCCGAGCAACGAAAACGCGTCACTTTTTACGCCCAAAAATAAGTTAAATGGTTAAGGGATAAATACATTTCTAAACTGAGGCGGGAGGGAGAGAAAACAGAAACCGTTTCATCACTCAGTGGGCAGTTGTCAGGTGGAAGAGCAAGGAGGCGCTGCCGCACGCACAAATACACACACTCACACAGTCACGCAGAAAATTTTAGGCTCCAAAATTTCTCCCTCCAACCCGCCGGAGGAGCGTGTCTCTCGTTTCTTTCCTAACGCCGGCCGAGGAGTTAATTCACTGAATTTTTACTGGTACGCTTGAATTTTATGCAGAATTTGTGCCGTCTGTTTACTGGAGTTTTCTTCCGATTACGCTAGTTTTCTTGCTTCTTTGCATCGGAATTGTGAGCGTTCTCTCACGCAGGTTCCAGTTCAAGATGAAATTCTACGGCGTCGCGTTGATTTTGTCTCTGGCGGTTCTGCTATTATTCTGCGGTTCTGTTGCGGCTATTAAGGTAATACAGCAGCATCATCTTCGTCTCCGTGCTCGTTTCCTCAATTTCAATTACGCATCGTTTTCACCGCTGTAATCGATTCTAAGTAATGTTTTTGCGCCTCTGTTTTTCCAGCAAGGCGACACCTGCGTTGCGAATAACTGCGATGCAGGGTTACATTGTGAGACCTGTCTAGCGATTGGCGATGTTCGACCTCGTTGCACAAGAACCAAGCCCACTAATCCTTTCTCGAGGGTAAAATTCAACTATCTTTGCGTTGATGTTTTGTGCATATGAGACGTTTGTGATTATAAGTCTTTTTACTGTTGATTTTATGTTTAATGTAATTGTTTGTGCTTTTTGCCTGCGTTACAATTGCAGGTGTCAGGGTTGCCGTTTAATCGGTACTCATGGTTAACAACTCACAATGCGTATGCTAGATTGGGGGAGAGGTCGGCCACGGGATCGGCGATCTTAGCTCCGACGAATCAACAGGACTCCATAACTGGTCAACTCAATGTGAGCCGATTCTCCCCTTTTTTTCTTTTTCTCTCCTAAATGACATAATCACGCACTTTCTTTCTACATATGGTGGTTACAACTTTAAATAAACATATATCTCTCTGGGAATATGATCGTATGTTGCTGTACCTGCTCCTCAATACTAAAATAGCAAGTGCGAAAGGTTGGAATTCTGACTGGTAGAATGTACTTTTCCTGTGCTGAATTGCTAATGGGTGGCTGTTTTCGTAGTATGTCAATGTTGGGGTAGCTGGGTCATGAGTATGGACAAATGCAGCTGGCCAGACTTTACGTTTAGTGACTTATTATCTCAACTAACCCTTGGGATATCTAAAATTAGCAAAGTAATTGATATATTTAAAAACTTTAACGTTTCACACGATTCTTCAATTTTGTGCTCATGTCTGAGCTGGAAATTTTTCTTTATTCTCATTTCTTATCATATGCAAATGCAACCTACATTAATGGATATCTTTTAAGAAAAGCTACAGGGGCTTGTCATTAGCTTCTTGCTCGTGGTGTTGACAGATTACAAAATCCTCTGATTAATTTGTAAGAGGAAGTATTTGTTAATGCATACCTCATTACTGCTGTCTGCTGTAGTTTTCTGTCAAGAATATAAACATTTATATCTGATGATGATTAAGACTGTACTGATCATTGTTCGTACAGTTAAATATACATAGACATTTTTTTTGTGGGGTACTTTGTCGTGTTAGATAAGGTCTTGTTTGCATATTCTATGGTTTATCATTCCAGCAACTGAAGAGATTACAAGTTAAGAATATTTTCCCCAAAAGAACATGTGTTTTTTGCACCGTTGTGCATTCTCAGGCTAGTTCTTGGTAGATACTCCTACCAGACTGAACAGGATCCACAGGCAGCAAAATGTTTCGACAGAAATCTTGATGAATTTAAGAGCTAATTTTACGTTGGTTCCAAAGCTTATTGCGGATCATCTAGTCATTAAAGAATATATAATTTGCTTCTTTGTCCGCAATCACCTTTTAAACAAATAATCTTAGTGGATTGTGCTCTTATTCCCATGCTCATTCAAATTTCTTTTAGGAGGCTACAATTGTGCTTGCAATCCTGAAAGATAGTATGTATTCTTAGCTTCTGAATATATCACTCCTCTGCACTCAGTTCTGTGAGGATATTTGAGGCTCTGACTCTGGTATTTGACCTGTAGGATTATTATCTTAAGCACTGAAGAACAATTTCTGCTCTTGCTGCAGCTTTCATTCTGATTGTTATGGATTCCAAAAGAAAAATGAGGAAAATTTTCGTAGAACAATAGTTTTTTATCCTGAGTGTTGTTAGTTTTTGTTCACTTCAGGTTTTACGCATTATTCACCATTTATACATTTCAGTTGATGTCTCGTTGAAAGAGTCCTTGTTTACATCTTGTGTTACTGGTGCAGAATGGTGTTAGAGGATTGATGCTGGACTTTTATGACTTTGAGAATGACATTTGGTTATGCCACTCCTTTGGTGGTACCTGCTACAATTTCACAGCCTTTGTAAGTGCAGTATTAAATTTGTTTTACAGAACTTGCTCAATGTACAAAGCCACATTTGGATATTTCTTTAGGATGCATCATTTAGTAGTTCTGCAATTCACTGATTGCACAGTTTGTTAATAATCTTCAAAATCTGATTCTCAGCAACCGGCGATTAATGTCTTGAACGAGGTTCAAGTATTTCTGGAAGCAAATCCTTCTGAAATTGTCACAATCATAATTGAAGACTACGTTACATCTCCTAATGGTCTAACTAAAGTGTTTAACGCCGCTGGTCTGAGAAAATTCTGGTTTCCAGTGTCGAGGATGCCCAAAAATGGTGGAGAGTGGCCAACAGTAGATGATATGATCCAAAAGAATCAGAGATTGGTAGTTTTCACATCAAAATCTTCTAAGGAAACTTCTGAACAGATTGCTTATCAATGGAGGTACACCGTTGAAAACCAATGTGAGTCTTTAAGTTTCTTCATATAAGTCAATTTCCAAATGTTAAGTTAGAGATGCTTTAATGCTTTATCCAGGAGCAGATATATTCATTCTGCAAGGAAAACTTGAAACTGGATTAACACTCATTCTTGCAGATGGGAAAGGTGGAATGGAAGCTGGGAAATGTCCCAACCGTGGAGAATCCCCGGCAATGAACACTACAACACGTTCATTGATAGTGATGAACTATTTTCCAGACAGTCCAGATGTTACTCAAGCCTGCAAACACAATTCGGCACCTCTGATGGACATGCTGAATACTTGCTATGAAGCATCCGGAAAAAGGTGGCCTAATTATATAGCTGTGGACTTTTATAAGGTACCAGATGGACAAACTAATATTTCAATTCCCGTTCCATAATTTAAAAATTTAACAAATACATACTCAATTAATTAACTTTTTTGGATTGGTTAAAACTTTTGTAGAGAAGTGATGGTGGAGGTGCTCCTCAAGTGGTTGACAGAGCCAATGGTCAAATGATTTGTGGCTGTCCAAATATTCTGTCTTGCAGGGTATCCTGAGCCTAACTTATCTTAAACATCTCTTGGTTTTGAAACTGCTACCTATGCAAGTAAATATTCCCATGATCTTTGAATGCCTATAATGCAGGAAAACATGACCTTTGGATCCTGTGACCCACCTAAAGGAGCCTATGCACCTGATGTAGCCGGTAAAATCAAGACAAGTTTCGCATTGTCATGCCGAAGATCAGTGGGAGTCCTCTGGCTGATGACCACATCTCTTACGGCCATCCTTCTATCATTGTGAACAAGGGGATCTAATTTGCTGATAGCGTTTCTTTGGGGGTTAAAGACAGACATCTTACTGATAAATGCTCTATTCCAAGAGGTTCTGCGTATGCTCTAACCTTTAGTCATTTGTCTGGTGGTTTCAAACTTTGATTCTTGTGATTGCTAGACTGTTTGAAACTGGAGATATGGTACTCAGTTACTTGGATATCCCTCTATGGATGAGAACGGGATTACCGTTAGTCCTTCGGATAAGTTGTACATAGATGATAGATCCATGCTCTCCATAAATCTCAATGATTCAGTGAAGATAGAATCTGTACTCCTTACGATTTTCTGATTTCTATGGGATTCACTTTGTTGGATCAAGCAACTGATCTGGAGATTTTGTTCTACAGAAAAGTTTAGAAAAATACGAACTTGGAAACATCTGGTTTTGGCTCTTTATTGTGCTGCACTGCTGCTATGGTTCGAATTTTATAGACATGCGGTCAAATGCATTATGAATTTAGGATGATAACATCGTCATTTTGATTTCTATCAGTTCCAATGATACAATTTAGCCTGGGAGGATCCTAATTGACCAGGCTTTTTCAGAGAAACAAAGCCCAAAATTTTCTGTGACATTTCATTTTGGGCCCACTTCCTGAGATAGATTAAACTTCAATTTGCCCCTAAAGTCCGTACTACAGTTTTACCTCCCCCATCAGATCATTATCACTCCAGGTCCAAAACTTTTTCACTGAAACCCAAACAAGGTGGGTAAATAATTAAATTAATTCAGGAAGCGAAGGGCTCAAGGCACCGCCATTGTCATAAAATTAGGGAACTCGAGGTTAGAAACCATCTTAACGCTCGCACAAATTAATTAAAACTTCGCTTATTGGTGAGTAATTAACAATTAAATAAACCAGATTCTTTCATCATTAAGATATTTTATGCAAGTCAGACTTTAATCTGCAGTCTGTGGGTTTAATAGAACGAATCCGTGGGGGGGAATATGTTTTTTTTTTTCCCCCTTTTCTTCTCATTTCCACAGACCACGGTACAGTACAGCCATGACGGAATATTCCAATGTGTTTGTGTCTGTGTCCGGAATTTTATCCATTTCATTGATTCATATTTCTCGATCTTGAGGTTCCATCCAAAAGACAAGCAATATAGATTATAGACTGTATAGTACAATATAGATCAAAATTACGAAGTTAATTTCTGACTTCTGAGCGCTAGCTAGCTAGCTTGAAGAATCGGCCCTTTTTTATTTAGAGTTAATTACAAAAGTTAATTTGTTCTACGAAAGTTTTGTTACTTTGCGACCTATACGGATGTCCATTAATGTTAATATTCCATTTTTATTAATAAATATGCATTTTTCATTTTTGTTTAATGTTAGTTTGGTTATAAATCATTTCACAACAATTGACAATATAAGAAACTAGTCGTGGAATGAAATCTTATACTTAATTACTTCAGTCTTCATGTATCTCCGAAAAATAGTTTACTTTATTACAATAACGGGAAGAAAGGGGACGAATCCCGTGGGTGGGTAGCCAGGGCTCTATCCAAATTCTGGGTTCGGATTTGCTTCAAGAAATTCGTAATTATGCATGCAAAGCATGCTGCGGACAAATTTGTTGAACAAGAATGCTATCTTTGACCACATTGAACTTCAATGAATTCATTCTCCTTTACGCTAGGTTTTAGTTCAAAGTTATAATTAGCTGAAACGGATCATGATCTGATTGTATTGATGTTGTCCTCAAGAAAGATAAAGATCATTTGCTTGCGCTTTAGACCATTATACTTTGACTTTTTCTTTACGATTTTCCGGCGGGTCAATGAGCTGAGAGGCTTCATGGTTACAATAATTTTCACTTTTTATTATATTATGCAATTATATATATATATATATATAATAATTATATAAATTGTACGTCATATAAAAAAATCATCTTTATTCATACTGGAAGAGAATATATATATAATAATTATATAAATTGTACGTCATATAAAAAAATCATCTTTATTCATACTGGAAGAGAATATGATCATTCTCATCATGATTTTTTTTTTTTTTTAATGAAGAGAAAAGAAAAATTGAAATCGAGAGAAGACTCAACCACGTAACATGTTTTGAAAAGAGGGGGAAAGATAAAGTGCAAGTTTTGTAACTTTCTTGAAATAGAATCAAACGTCTAATAGACTTTAGGATTGTCAAATGTTAGGCTTCACCACGACATTGGACAGATTCATAATTTTATAAAACTTTTGTAGGACATTACAATGGACCACATAACATGGGCTATACATTTAATTATTATTAATATTCATATAACAAATATTTATACGACTAATAAAGATTATAACTCATACTACAATTCTTTATTAAATAATACACAGCCATAGAAGTGTTGCGTGTCACGATCTCCCACATTGAAAGTGGACTCAATAATTACACAATCGATCGGACCACACACAAGACTTTGGAGACCCATCCTATATATAATCCGTATAATCCACTACATAAGAAGATTTAGGCCGAATCACGTAGCCAACTAGGCTTGCCTTCTTTACAATTTGAAGTTGCAATATTCAACTCCTAAAATAGGATAGAGGGAAAAAATTGACAAGAAATGATGTGTCAAGATCTTAATTATGCTCTAATCTTAAATGCATAAATTCTGTTTGGAAAGTTTTAACTATAAATTGGTGAAATTATTTCCTTATAATTTTTTTTCCTTGTACCAATCGTTATTCAAAATTTTATGCATCCTCCAAACTCCAAAGTAGAGTCATATTTAATTGGTTAAGGGGAAAAAAAAAAAATTCTCCCATCTTAGGAACGAAACTAGTTATATATTATTTTAGTTCAACAAATAATACTCCATTTTATTAGAACACTTCCAGCAAATGATTAATTTTTACCCCTCATCACACAAATGACACTAAAACGGGGAAAAAAAAAAACAAAATAATTAATACCTTGCTTTTGTACGATATTGTAAGTCCCTTGTCCCATTAATAGTTATAAGTGGCCAAAAAATGACTCATTGGACCCAACTAGGTTGTTGTGTTATTTATTTATTTATGAGTACTAGTGACTGCTATTTGATTAATCCTAAATCAAAGTGTAGGTCTTCTGGTGATCTGGTCTTCCCTATCTTAATTAATAAACTCAATTAATTAATCAAGCGCCTGGTTCAATTTCCGAATAGCTTATATAGCTCTTACGTACTCTACAGAGTTAATGTTTAATCCATTGGTGACTCGGTGGGATGAAATTAGGGAGAAAGGTGATTTTGCATGACGCTCGAGACGTTCCAAAAGCAAATTAAGCCCAAGGGTTCATTCACAGACAAACTGATGTTTAAGTGTAAGCATGACACCACATGATGATGAACCCTTAACTATTATCACCTCCAAAAGAATTTGTTAGTCTTATTACAGTCGACAAGGCAATTCAATCAAAATTTAAACTATGGAATCACAAATCTTGTCCATAATAAGATAATGAAGTACAGTTTGAAGTGTTTAATAGATTGTAAATTACAAAAATTCTATTAGGATTATATTTTTACTAATAACAAACAAACCCTGGGCAAACAACAACTTTATTAATTTCAGAAAATTTAAAACCATCCATCCCTCCCTCAAGTTATGCTTTTTAAGGGGGAAATTAAAAAAAAAAAAAACATATTTGCAACATTATTTCATAAAAAAAAAAGGTAGATAATAAAAACATAAATGTGAAAGGTGCTTTATATTGCGACTGGGGGTGACATCAACAAGACATATATGCTGTTGGGAGAGCCATGTCAATTCCGATTAAAAGGTACAGACCCTTCATCAGCACATTCCAGCCTTCCACCCCTTTTTTTCCTCACTTTATTTTTGACCTACAAAAAGAAATTCTTTATTTAAAAATTCTAATTTTTTTTTACTCTCATTATTAAAATTTTGAATCCTTCTTTGCATTTATTCCTTGTTATAATTGCGTCATTGAACAACCTAGATTGTGAGAATTATTGTAGTTGATTTGTAATCCGATGGATATTTTTTAAGGTGAAAACCACGATCCATCGCTTATGTTAAAATATATATATATATCCATGCATGGCGAGATTCATAAGAAGAAAAGCGACAAATCTTTTCACGTGTGCTTTATTGGCATATTCACCTTTTGGTTTGATTTAATTTATTCAATATAAGCGTGAATTTTGCTACAATTTGCATTTGTATTTAAACTTTATTATCCAGTTAGAAACTTGCTTCATATTTAGGTTATCCGTGGTGGATTAGCTGTAAATATGGATACAAGGACCGCTTCTTTCAGCATTTGATATAGTAAATTTAGGGTTCTTCCTGACAAGTCAACCAAACAACCCACCGGCCTTTACTTCTCATTTAAAAAAAAAAAAAAATCATTACAGACGATTTTGCTTTTCCCTAAGGATAAGATACGCCCTGAACGTTATCTGTAATTCTGTATTTTTTAAATTAAAAATATTTTTCATCAAATTGTATTTAGTATTAATTTTTTTTTTTTTTTGTTTAATGCATGCCTCAATTTGCAGCCGATGTGAAGAGTCTTATTCATGCTTACAAGATTCGGATATAGAGGATGAGGGTGTTGATTCCAGATGTTTTTGACTCTTTTTTTTTTCCTTCTTTACAGCAAAACAAAAATAAAATAAAATTCTGACATTTCAGATGATAATCATTAATTTTTAATCCAATGATATAATCATCTTCATCTCTTGGATACAGAAATCACGAATTACTTATATCTTTTCTTTTTATAAGGTGGTAGGGTAACCCTAAACAGACATTCACAAAATTAGAGGTTGGGCTCTTTAAACTTTTATTTATTTTTATTTTTTTTGAAATACAAGAAAATGTGGGAATCATGATTCTTGGAGCAAAGACTATTCATTAAACTTTTTGTGTGGATTCCTGAATGAGATGCAACCATGATATATCATATAGACAGCTAGAATGGTCTCTGCTAGTCTGCTAGTGTAATACTAAAAGAAAAGAAAATGGTAATAGTAGTAAATGCAAAAAACTGAGTCAAAGTTTTTTTTAGAGAAACTGATCAGTAGTAGTAGCTCATAATAAAACAAACTGGTGGTCAAAACACACAGACACACAGTAGGAGTACAAAAACCGAAGGAATTCCGTACTGGGGCGAAGCGGGGGGAGGACCGGAGGAGGAGGTGGACCGAGATCTCTTCTGACTCCCTCAATCTTTTTCTCCTCGTCTTAAATCATCCTCTTCAAGAAAATTAAAATATTACTCACTCTGTCCTGAAATGATAATTTTCACTTTTAGTTCACAATGTACTAAAATTAAAAATACTAACTGAATAGGAGCGTATGAGTACTCTTCCGGTCCTTAATATAAGGCATTTTGATTTTGTCTTAAATTTCACCTAGCACATATTTTTAATTAACGAAAAAATCTTAAAAAATTACATACTAAGTTAAACATAGGACAAATCAAAATGCCTTATATTAAAGAGTAGAGAGAATATTATTTTTGTCCAAAAGC